TGCTAAGAGCAGGTTAGCATCCCAGGTGAGGAACAATTCAGGAACAGATATCTGTTGTTGTTGCCTTAATTCAGGCCAGATTTCCAAATGCCTGACGACGTTAACGATACCTTGCAAAGCTGCAACTGCACCTGAAAGCACCTGCAGCAAGAACCCAAGGAACTGTTTGTTCCTACAAGAAGTTTCCTAATGGATACCAGTGCTGCCCATGGCTGCTCAGATTCAGAATCAGAACCAAAACATAAGTATGAACCAAACATTAAATCAGAAACAATTGAAGCAATTCAGAGTCATCCCCAGCCGCTGCCACATCTCTCCTTCATAAAACACCATGGAAGAAGCCACGTCACAGCTGGAGCGAGCCGTGCCAGAACAGCTGCACTGAGGAATAAAGCTGCCTTACTTCAGAGCAGCAGCACCAGGTGCCTCAGATGAAAACCTGACTTGTTATCACTACTTACGGTGGGTGGGTAACAGTCTAAGTGTTCATTTATTACAGTTGCTCAAATGAAAACAACTCTTATGGTGGCAGAATGGATCAAGATAAAGGAAAACAGTGGACAGATTGCCTCTGCAGCATCTGTGTGTAGGGTGTGTTTTCTGCTGATTAGCTCTACCATTTTAAATTCAGTTTAAACAGTACTTACGGTTTGATTCCTTAAGAATGCAGAAAAGTACACTTAAATCAAGCGATGCTTTAAGTCCTGGCAGGTCTCTGCAACTCCCCCTCCTTATGCAACATTAATCCCATTTGTGACCAAGCCACGGTCACTGCCATCAGATCAGAGCATTCCACTGCACAGCTCAGCCCGGTGGCCACAGACTGCTCCAGCTTTCCTCCTGCCCAGCGCAGGGCACGGACCCGATGCTGGATGCAGCCAGCAGGAAAGCACTCCTAGCTCTGGATCTGCAGCCTCTGCAAGGGCATCTGGAGGTGAACTGCCACGCACTGGGTGTGCTGAGGGCAGGAGCTCAGTCCTGCCCACGACAGCCAGCACCTGTACACCAGAGCCTGTCCCAGCAAACGCAGGTGGTGATGAAGCCAGCTCAGGGGAAGTCCTGCTGGGCTCCCGTCACACCAGAGGCAGAGCCACCAGCCCTTGGGTGGCATTGCCCAGTGTGCGGTGGTGGTGGTGATGGCTGGGAGTCTTCTGGCCTACAGAGGACCAGGTCATGGCCAGTCCTACAGCCCAGCCAGGCACGAGGTGGCTGGAGAAGGGGCAGCGGTGAGAGCTGAACACGTGGACGTAGCACTGTGCTCCTCCAGTGAATGTAAGCAGTGTACAAAACGTGTTTAACAGATGTTTGTTAAACAAGTCAGTTCTGTTTTTATTAAACCCAACCTCGGTACAAGCAGGTCAGTCCTGAGATTCATTTACAGGTTTGTTTAAAATGAAGATGAACTGGGGCCACCTTGGTCCTGCGTGACGCCAGACCGGGGCAGGAGCGCTGTGCTTTTTTATTTGTTTCAACAAGTGTTTGTGTAAAAAAGGAACTCAGTGCATCATAAACACAGAAGTCGCAGCCAGCCCGGGCTCCAGCTTTGAACTGCTTCCCCTTCGTTAGGAGGTCACATTGAGCTGCCCTGTAAGATGGCTCTGTGCTCACCCAGCACCCCCAGCCCGAGGGCAGGAGCAGAGCTGGGCAGGTGCCTGCAGTACGGGGTGCTGGGAAGGGCTGACACTGAGACATGAGGGGCAAAGCCCCGCTAACACTGAAACTGGGGGTCAGGGATTTGGGTTATAACGCCTGTAAGTCTGCAGAACAAAGCTACCGAAAAGTTACTGCTTATTGCTAAGAAATGTTAGACTCCAGCAATAGTGTTAAGGTCAGTCAGAGGCTCTGGAGTGACATCCCAAGCCAGACAAGGAGAGGAACAAACCAAATCCCACTGCAGCAGCAGCAGCTCAAGCAGCACGCTGAGCACTTCTCCACCAACCCAACTTTGTTCCTCTCCCCTGGGAAGTTCTGTCACAGTGTTAAATGCTACAGCTGGGCCCTCACCCAGAGATTAGAGTTTGGTTTCAGTGTAAGCCATGCATCAGCCATAATTAGCAGGTTATCTTTTGGCAAATACCTTGGATTTCAACTTTATCAAGAGACCTGATCAAGCAAACTTTTCCCAATCAATCAGTGTATCTTAGTCCTTGCTACACAATCTCTTCTGTGCAATATATTGCAAGCTTAAAGGTGAAAGCACCAATTAATTTCTTCTGCATGAGATGTTTTGGCCTTAATAAATCTTCTAATTAACATATCTTCCTGTTGTTATGGAGTATGCGCTGGGAAGACTAAAAAAGCTACAGAAAGAACAAAAGAGAATCATATTTAAGCGTCAGATCATCGCATTAAGTACAGACAGGTTGAAGTACAAATCTGATGCACGCTGTTGGACAAACCTCCATCAGCAGCACCACCTGAGCAGCACTGCATCAGCCAAGCTGTACGGTTGAGGTTGGCCTTCAGCGCAGCACTGGCCTCAGCCCAGCAGCAAATAAAACCAAGAGAGGCTGACCCGAGCTCCTCAGGCAGCAACGTCCCACAGAGCTGACACCAAATGGGGCTGTGAGTAGAGCTCCATCAGCCACCATCCCCCAAAAGAGAACCCCAGGCTGAAGCTGCGCACTTTTCCTGGCCATAGAAGAGGATGATGATGTGTTCCTCTAGAAAAGGCCCATCCCGCTCCTATTCTGTTAAGGGGAGATACCATCCAGACACCACCTGTGTGCTGTCTTTTGATCAACTCCTCGGCATCATTACATCCCCGAAACCACTGGTAGGTACACAAATCCCACAGAGAGAACTTAAGACAGCTTTGGCTCAAGAAGGGACTGCATTTGGATCGACGCCTCAGGACTTCCCCTTGGATCGTGGATGATGCAGAAGTTGGCTCAGCATATTTCTGAGTGTTCCCAATGTCCAGAAGACCTGAGATCTGGGAACACCTTCCATGCTTACACATTGCCATTTCACAGAGGTCCACCCGACAGCACAGGAAACGCACTGCTCAATAAACGACACCACAAAAAACTCAAAATACATGTGAGATTTAATAAAAGAAAAGAAAAAAAAAATTACAAAGTGAGCGGAAAGAACTGAAAGTCAAAAAAAAAAAAAAAAAAAGAAAGGCAAAAATCACCCAACACATTTGGAATGGCAAAGCAAATGGCTGCAGTGCTCGGAGTGCACCGAGTCTCCTCCCTGCTCCCAGCAGGCAAACATGGAGCCTGCAGAGCTCACAGCCCTACAGGCACCTCTTAGCTTAGGAAGCACACAATGCGGATGGTGGTCAACGTTTAAACAATAACAGTTTTTTCCCCATTAATGCCAACGTGGTGCAGACAAATGTATGAGATGGCTGAAAGAAGCGTGACTGAATGGTTCCAGTCCTGGAGGGCGGTGCTGCCACGTGCTCTGCTTGCAGGAGGGGAAGCTTTGGGCTGCACTGAGATCAGCATCGCAACGCATTCACAACTCGTTAAATAAAAATAAGATGCAGAACTGCTCTATATGCCACGTGTTTAAATCCTGTCTCAGCCAAAAAGCGAAAACCACTACTTTGAGTGCAAGAGAGCAAAAAATGAGCTCTGCTGCGAGACTCTGATGGCGACTGCCCCAAAGAGCAGATGGACCTGAGGTCAACAGGCAGCTGCGAGGAAAGGGACGTCTGTCACAGTAATGTCAGTGAATACAGAATCATCATCCATATATCATTATGTACATTCTGAATGTCTTCTCCAGGGAAAGCTGGGATTTCTCTGCAATGCCATGGGTCAGCAGGCTCCTACGCTTCTATTGCTATCGTCGTTTCCCTAACTATCTCTTATCCTGGGGAAAAAGATAGATTTCTGCTGAGCCAGGGCAGAAAGAAATTATTTGCATAGATCTTATTGGCTGCAGCACAAGATCAGGAAAAAAATATTGAGTGGAAAAGCCATAGGAAGGTTTGCAGTGTGGTCAGAGCTCTGTTCCAGCCCTCGGGAGCATCGGTCTGAGAAGCAGAACAGCGCCAGCACAGCCCTGCTCACACAGGCAATTAGCACACCAGAGCTTCTCTCATCAGCAATAATCAAAATTGTGCCCCTGATTCGCTGCATGAGCAAATTGAGTCAATGGTGAGCTGGAGCTGTTCTCCTGTATGTAACCATCAGCTGTGTTCTTTGTATGTTCCCTTAATTAAAACCACATCAGCTCTCTTAGAACGATGGCTACTCTACAAAACACATCTCAGCAGCACAGCCCAGCAGCCCCATGCTCAGCCATCAGCTGATGCAGCCTGCGTGCATCTCTGCACGTGGTCCATTCCAGAGGGCACTGTGAGAGGTTCTTTCACACCAAGTCACACAAACAGGACTGGCAGTGCACCCACAGAGAGGGACAACGTCCGTACGAAAACAGTTTCACACCTGAGCACGTATTTAGGACAAATGAAAGAGCTGCTTCAATGGGATGTGCCTCATCCAGCATCGTGCCCTTCAGACAGACCTGCACCTCCGAGCCAAAGCTCAGCATAAGGATGGGGCTTTAAGGAAAAATGAGAGAAATCCTTGAACATTAATGCCTAAATAGAAATGCACACACTCCCACCAAATACTCAGCCACAGCCAGTGTTTGCTGGAACTCCAAGGACACTGTGCAGGGCTGACATTTAATAGCTGTCCCATCTGCTGTCTGATGGAATTGGGTCCGACCCTTTTTCCATGAGAACACTGCTGTGTGCCTCTGTGCAGCTGTGTTCTGCCTATCACAAAGCAATGAGATGGAGCAGAGTGGCATAAATGCAGCACAGCTCACGGTCAGGGACCTCCTCAGCACGTGTGTGCTTATGGCTATTTCCTTGATAACAGCCACAAAGGAAAGATGACTGCTTCAAGAGTTTTTCCAGGGCAGTGAATTGTGCTGCTAAGTGAGAAGTGACACAGCTCCTGTAGCTCCACAGGACACAACACACACGGATGGCAAACCCTTCTATATAGAAATTCTAACTTCAGCGGTAAAGAAAATTCAAAACGTTGTCCCATGAGTTTTATTAACCACTCTCTCTTTCTATATATATATATATGTATATATGTATATATGTATATATATTATAAATGATGAAGAATATGTTTATAGAGAAATTCAGGATTAAAATATATAATTAGGAGAACAGGGGTGACTCGGACCAAGATTCCCAGGGCAGAGGTTCTGAGCTCTGGGCTTTGCCCCTGTTCTAAACTTATTCAAATCCAGGATTTTGTTAGAAAAATAAACGTTTCGGCATCCTTCACCCCACTCCTCACATCTGAGCACCTTCAGAGGGAGAGAAACAGTGGAGCAATGGCTTGAACAGTCCCCATAACCAGTGACAATCAAACGAAATCTAGGGAGTAAGCATTCAGCTGCTGGGGAAGGGGAGCTCAGGCCAACTGCTGCGGACACCTGACACAGAGCTGCTGGGCTTAGGACAGGACGTCTCACTTTGGGGATGAGTTGATGTTGTTTAGAAGCATTTACACAGTAAGGTTACGTCCTCAAACACAGCACAGATCACAGCAAGTCGTGACACAGCAACCACTGGAGATGCTCGTGGTCTCTTTCGCTTTGGTCCACGCACACAATGTTATGAGAAGGGTCACAGGGTGGGAAACTCAAGCAACTTAAAGACATGAAAGCACCAAGTCCACTCTTGGCCTGAAAGTCTGTGTGTGATTAACTGAAAGAAACAAAACATAAAAACAAAAAAATATGCATGAATTAAAATTAGGAAAATTAAGCAAAAGCAAAATGTAGCGAAATGATTAACAAAGGAAAAGAAAAAAAGAGAGGGAAGGCCAAGCAGTGCTCTGGCATCACACCAAGGCTGCCACGAACAACACACCACAAAGCACCATCTGTTCAGCTGTGTGCACAGAGGGATCTCAGCACAAACACGTTTGTTTCCTCTCCCCACCTGCAGTTCTGCTATCTCCATTTCTCACTTATTAATGCTACTCAAGCCCTGTGTTAAAGCACCAGAGGGGGCAAGAGGCTCAACCACCTTTCCTAAAAAAATAAATCAATCAAACCACAAAAGGGGAAAAAAAAATAATAATAAAAAGCCCTGAAAATGCCTCTTCCTACCCTGGAGCCCACAATCCCAGTACCAGCAGCACCACCTGTAGCACTGGGATGTGCCTCTGCTCACAGATGAGCAACACGCCGGTAAGGAAACCAGCAAGCAATGAGTGCTGCTCACCAAGGAGTGCATGGACCCCATCACAGTGTGTGAGCTCCTGTGGTTCACATCAACCCAACTCCTGGGCTGGGGCTGCACTCCCTGAGCTGCTGCTTCCCGGCATGAGGCCATCTCTGCCAGATGGAGGGGGGTCTGGGAAGGGGGGCAGCAGCAAGGCAAGGCACTGGGGAGGAGCCTGGTCCTCAATTATTAGTTAACAATTAGGGCAGCAAGGCCAGTGCCCAGTGTGGGTGCCCAGGGCAGCCTGAGCTGGGGGGCAGCCAGAGTAGGGCTTTGGGGTCCCTTCCAACCCAAGCATTCTGGGATTCTGTAGTTCTATGATCTTCACAGTCCCTTCCAACCCAACCATTCTATGAATGTTGTTACCCTGGATAACATACATCTGCGTTGCAGCACAGATCCCCACATTTGGAACCAGGCTGCAGACTCATCAACAATTTATCTCCTATCCCAAACCTCTTCCTCCCCTGGACTTCTTAGCTCTATCCCCACTAACAGTGCAGTCTCACAGCTGAGCCCCAGACCTGCAGAGACCCCGGGGACAGGCACAGAGCACGAGGTGCCCTTGCAGCTGGCAGCCCCACTGTCCCCAGCCCCATCACAGGGGCAGGCAGGGAGCAGAGCAGTGCCTGCAGTGTGCTGTGAACAGCAGGAAGCCTATTTCTGTTGCAGGCAGGAAGCCGCTGCATTTCCACCAAGCAGCACAAAGAGCAGCACGTGCTTGGAGTGCTCATGGCCATAGGTCAGACCTGGCTCCTGTTCTCAGCCCCTCAGTCCTACTGGAAGTCACTCAATATGACCCTACTCCCAGCAGAACGTTTTGCAAACTGTTTTGGGTGCTGCGTGTGAGGTTGGATGCACATGGAGCACGCTGACAGGTCTGGAGACCCGTTTTAACACCAACATACTTACATTCCAAGCAAATAAGTTAAATAACACATGCTGTTACCTTCCTAGGAAGAAACAAATGGCTCACAGCCCCAGCACCGCACTGCTGCCAGGAGCTAACCAGGGCATCACCTCCCAGCCTTCTCTTTCCTCTCACCAGGCTGTGACTGCTCTGCCCTGCTGGGACCACATGCAGCTCTGACAGCAAATTAACAGTAAATGCTGGAGGGACAAACTGAGTGCCCTGCATGCCAGCTTACCTCGTCTTGTTCCTGCACAGTGCTCCTTGGGAACCAACGTGGCTGGGGGCTGGACCAGTACCACCCCCATTTTTATTTTTAAAGATATATCTTCTTTAAATAAACCTGTTTGCCCCCTTCTTGCTCCATCGTTATAACTGGGCAGCTGAGAGAGCATTATATTGCATGCCCCTTCTCTGCACTGCTTCTGGCTTCACCAATGTCAATTAACCTGCAGCTAGATAAGAATTCTGCCTTCAGGGGAAAAGAGCTTTCTCAGCGATTCAGCGCAAGCAGAACTCTGTCTTGGAGCCCTGCTTCACATGGAGCCCTAATGAATTCTCTGTGCTTCTTCATTCTAACCTGCTTTGTTTTGCTTTTCACAGCTCTACCTCTAAAAATAAACAGCGCTTCACAAAAAGAGGACCTAAACCCACAGAGCAGAGCAGGATGGGGCACTGAGCCTGCAGGACATCACAGCCGTGCCAAGGCTGTCCCTGCTTCTCTCTGCTGGGGAGCAGTACGGCAATTTTCAGCTCCCTTCCTGCATCCAGCAGCTAAGTGCTCCCATGGCTGTGTGCCCTGTAGGGCTCCAGGCCTTTAGAGAACAGCCCAGAACCGAGGAGCCCACCTGCAGCCAGCAGGGCTTCCCCTGGCACAGGTGGTCCCTTCTCTCCTGCACTTCACACAAAGCCCGAAGGGTAAAATTTGGGTTCCAAAACCCTTTTTTCCTTATCTCGTGAAACACTGCAGTCTGAGAACTTGCCCCCTCCCAGAGGCAAAGGGGACACTCGAGTTTGGTCACTTACTTTTTCCTGTCTTTGTCCTTCTTCAGCGGCTGCTGTGAGGTAGCCTGCAAGGATTGGGACTGCAAGGTTTCCACCGCTACTTTCCGCCTGTTGAAGGCATTCATCTCTTCCTCCAGCTCTCTCCTCTTCTCCTCCACTTTCCTTTTCTCTTCCTGGTGTATCCTTTTCAGGTGCTCAAACTTCTCATGCAGCTGCAGGAGACAGGCACTGTGAGCACTGCACCAGGCACAACCACCAGCCCCATAGCCCCCCATCCTCTGAACCCACCACGTATCTCAGTTCAGGGACCGAGGGCACAGTGGGATCCCACATTCCTGATCTTTGAGGCCCTTTTCAACCAGGCCATTCTATGATATGATATGATTCTTCACTCTTGGAAGATGGCCCATCTGTGTCCCCTTGTAGCACAGCAGCTGCCCATGGCCTCCCACCACTGATCCCTGGGACTGTGCACCTCCAACCCAATGCTCACCAAACCATTCTGCACTGCCCTCTGCTCACCAAGCAGCAGCCTTGCCTCCTACACACGGCACAGGGAGGTCAAGACTTCTGTTTTTGAAACACCTAAACCAGTGATGCTGCTCTGAAAACACTACCGTGCCCCCTCCCTGGAGCAGGGGAAGGTGTGTGTGTGCATGTGTGTGTGTGTGCTGCTTTGGCTGGCAAGGTCTACTAAGCATCTGCTCATGCATTCCAGGATTTGTGTGCTGCCGAGAGCAGATCCTATGGCTGACTGTATTTTCAGCTCCTCTCAGGGGTTTCTGGCACACTCACCTCTCTTTCCTTCTCCTTCAGCTCTGCCTCCGTCTCCTTGACTTTGTTAACAAACATTTGTCTCATTTCTTCCTCTTTCTTCTGGAGCTCACCCAAGAATTCTTTTCTTTTGGTCTCGTATGTTTCTTGCAGGCTGGGTGAGAAAGCAAACGGAGTCTAGACTTTCTGAACAACAGTGAGTTAGGGATGGGGAAAAGGCATGCCTGCCTGCTTCATTAAGGACAAAGAAGCAGGGAAGGGAACAGTATCAAAAACAAGTTCAAATGCAAGGCTCATATCTTCCAGCCCAATGACAGATATCATCCACAAACCTCTGCTTTTCTTTGGGGTGCTGGTGCCCTACCGCGATGGTAGATGTGAAGGCCCTCACCTGAAGGGCTGGCTGTCTGGGTCCGTGTCCTTGAAGCCCATCTCCTCCAGTTTGCACCTCCGGTACAGCTCGTAGTGGCGGGTGTGGGTCTGCTCCCGAAGATCCTCCATGTTGACTCGGATCAGCATTTCTCGCAGTTTCACAAAGTCACAGTGACTTTCATTCTCAACTGATTGAAAACGAGTGAGAAGTCAGCAAAATGCACGCGAGAGGGAGGAGTAGTAATGCACGTTCAGCCCAACTCCAGAGATTCCCATCCCATGGATGTCTAGCTGCCATCCCCCATGGGATAACCAAGCTCTTTGGATGCAGTGATTCATTTTGACCATGCCAGAGCAGGTGTGAGTCCAAGCATTGCTCAGACAACTTATTGCAGATGCTGGTAGTAATGGGAATTCAAAGGCAAGATTGGCCAACCCACACAAGGCTGCATGGGACACATCCACACCATGCAGCACAGCACGCCTTCCTGCACACACTGGGAAGGGCAGAGCTGCAGGGGGCATGCATCTGCCCATGCAGGTGGCAGCTTACCTTGCACCACTCCCCACGGGTACTGCCGAGCTCTCACCAGCTTGTTCCCCACCTTCACCTCCTCTGTGCTGCCAACCACAGCAAAGGGCAGATGAGCCTGAAACAGAAGTGACAGCAGAGACTCAGGGCAACGGAGCTGTGAGGAGTTTGGAGCACGCATCCTATAGGGAGCAGCTGAGGGAATTGGAATGGTTCAGTCTGGAGAAGGGGCAGCTCAGGGGAGACCTCATCACTCCCTACAACCCCTGAAAGGAGATGGTAGCAATAGGAGGTTGGCCTCTGTTCCTGGATAACAGCAATAGGATAAGATGGCCCCAAGCTGCACATGGGGAAGCTCAGGTTGGATACTGAGAATAATTTCTTCTCCAAAGAGCGGTCAGCACTGGCACAGCTGCACAGAGAGCGGGGAATCACCAACCTGGGGGTGTTTAGAACTGTGGGGATGTGACACTGGGGGATGTGGTCAGTGGGCACAGTGGGACTGGCAGGGGTTGGGGATCTGAGAAGTCTTTTCCAGCCTCAGTGATTCCAGGGCCCAGTCCGTGGGCCAACCTTGCAGAGGTCAGCCTGACCTCCAGGTTGCCTTCATCCCAACCCAGGGTCTATCCAAAAACCTTTCCTCCGAAGCCCTCCACCCTCCAACGCTCAGAGCAGTTTCCCCTCTGCCATAGCACAGCAGAGCAGCTTACTAGCAATGCTGGCTGGACTGAACTTAATGAGGAAATATTATGGGAACTCCACGATCACTGCTGATCTGCCTCTCTCCATTTGTCAGGTTGCTCCCCCAGCTGCCATCTCTCTGTTTGCCAAGAGCAGGGAGCTCCCTGCCTCGCAGAAAGCACAAGCAAAGACATCCACACACAGGCCGTGTCCCTTCCAGTGCCCACACACAACTGCTGTGCCACGTGCAGGATGCAACACGTGCTCTCTGAGGCTGCAAAGCACCAAAGGTTGCAAGGGATGGGGCACTGCCCTCAAGGCAACAAGCACAGCCCTGCAGGGAGCCAGGCACACTGCTCTGTCGTACACCCACGGGGCTCAGGGCTGCAGCACATTCATCCCTCCCACATGTTTTATTTAGGAAACAAACAAACAAACATGAAAACACGTCAGCTGTCTCTATTCCACAAAAGGTAAACTCTGAACCGGGAGTAAAGCCAAACTCCAAAACTTGAAATTGTTTTTCCATATTCTTTCACCACATCTGAGTTTGATCTTTGAGTTTAAAATAAGACAAAATGGAGTCTAACAGTTTTTCTTCTTCAAATTGGGTTCTCTCTGCTTAGTGCCCTTAAGTGGAAGGATAACATAGATCTTAACTGTCAACTCCTTATTCGAAGTTCCTCCCTCCTCAAATGATAAGCAGCCTAAAAACAGATAAAATGAATTTTGAAGGAAGTATTTTTCAGAAATCCAATAAATCCAATTCTAGAGCTGAGATGAGCGTCTCCAGAGAGCCCACAGAGATTAAATAAGAGCCACATTTTAATTAATTCTGTATGCGACAGCCTCAGGCATCTGTCAGATCCACAGCTCGACTTTGAAATAGATTTAGCATCTGGACAATCCCAAGGAAACTTGCCTTTCAGACGAGTTTTTGCACAGCAGTTCAATTTGTCACAACTTCTGGAAGCCCTGCAATCGGCAGCGTTACTCACATTCATCACTGAGTTGATCTCAGCCACTGCTTCGTCGTCTGTGGGGAACTGATAGATCTGCACACCGTTGCTGACCAGCTCGCTCATAATCTTTATCTTAAACTTGTGCAACTCGCTCTTGGAGATGGTGTCTGCTTTGGCAATGATCGGGATAATGTTCACCTGAAGCAGAAGGAAGGACAAAGCAGAGGTGAGCAGCAGAGCTGGGCAGTGGGGGGAGCTGAGGTTGTGCCTGCGAGATGCAGCAGCACTGAACACCAGAGGGAAGAGTTTTCCACAACTCATTTGCCTACACGCCTTGCAGACAAACGGCAATAAATGCACCCAACGAGCAGATCAAAGCCTCTGCTCCTGTCTGTGCGTTTTGTTACACGCTTCAGCAGAGACAGAGCCATTATCACTGCCATATCTGCAGCTGTCACCCCGTCAGTGCTGGCTGTGCTGAACAGCTGCTTTGGAAGACAAGTGCAAAGATGAAATGTTGCAACAAGACGGTGTGAAACCTTCCTGTGCTTAAGCAGAACAAGCAAGAAGTCTGCAGATGCTTTCCAGCAGCGGCAGGAGCGCTCACAGGGCCTCTATGAGCACTGCTGAGCCCACAAGAGCCACGCACAGCACTGCAAACCCTGCCTGAACAGCACCACGAGCCTGCCTGAATGGCAGCCAGACTCAGAGCAGCACAACTCAGGAATGCAGAGAAATGAAATGAGAAGAGAGATTTGCCATTTAACGTTTCCCCACAGCCAACGCTCTGTGTCCTGCAGAAATCCACAGCAGCCATCTGTTCTCCAGTGAGTGCCCACTAAAATAAATGGCTTTGCTTTCCAGCTTCAGTTCTCTCTGCAGCTCAGTGCTCTTCCTAACATCCTTCCTCCCTGCTCTGGTTTAGCTCTCACTAAACGTTTTTACTTGTTCCAAAAGAAAATCTCCTTAACTTGTTGGCTGCCCCCAAACTATTTCCTGCCCACATCACGCCTGCAGCTGGGCAGGAGGAGACCCACATTCTCCTTTGGGCACAGTTTCAGGATGCCCTGGAGTCCGCAGCTGTGTTAACAGTTCAGATACCTGCCTGGCAACAGGGCACAAGAAGATGAAATCCTTACTTCTCCCCAGCTACTGCTCTGGCCTCATTTACCAATGACCTGAAAAGCACAGAGAATGAGGTCTGCTGGCCTCACTGCACTCCTCAGCAGGAAGATGTCCCCATTACAAAGGTGAAGGGGCCATGCCCACAGCTGGTGCCTCACTGACCTGCTACCACATCCCACACAGCAGGCTCAGCTCAGGGCTCATCAGCTCCCATGCAGGAGCAGAAAGACACTGCCACATGCAGGGCTTTGTGCTCTGCAGTGTTTCCAGCCTGGCATGCTGACAAATGAGCACCACAGGTGATTTTAGTCTGTTCTCAGCTGCCCTAACTCATTGTCCCCTCTCCTCCCACAAGGCACCAGCTCAGCCCTGCGTGCAGCTCACTGCGTCCTTCCCAGCAGCAGGCACAACTCAGAAAAGCTGTAACCCAAGGATGGATCAAGTCCCTTCTAACCCAGCTCCAAAAAGGGAAGTCCATCACTGGGTTCAAAACCCAAAATGGCTCTGCAAGCTGCTGCATTTTCAGTAATCAATAGCCAACACCAACGCAAATGCCAACAATTAATTAACAGCAAAAGAACCTCAGTAGGCTCTGATTTTTTCAGCTACATTTGTCCTGGATCATTCCATCTCTTCCTGACACAAATATGTGCAGCTGCCCTTCAGTAAGAAGAGGACCAGCAGGAACCTACCAGGACTACACCCACACTGACTACACCACCTCCTTCCAGCTCAACTCCACTTCCCCAGGGCTGTTGAGACTTCCAGGGCATTGGAGCGTTTGTCTTCTTCCCTCATGAGTTCATTAATTTTATATGTAAGCATAAAATTACTGGGTTTTGATTTCATGCACATCTAGGGAGGCCACAAGCTGGATCACCTTGGGTTGCAGGCAAAACCCCCAGAGCAACGTCCTCATATCTCCTGGTGGAAGGATGCTATCCTCCATTTAAAAATCTGATATCAAAATCAATAAGTTAATTATTGGAATGTCAGCCAGCTGAATCAGACAGGCATGCAGTGGCTGCATGAAAACCAGTGCAGGTGCTCACAGTCTTTGCTGCAGATGGAATCTTTGAGCAGAGGAAGCGCGTTTCAGATGAGACAGTGACCTCACAGGCACACATCACCTCCTTCTCATGTCTCTCTGACCACAGAGCCATTCCTCATCTCCAAAAATAAAACTTTCAAGAATGTAACCAAATAAGAACGATGAGAGAAAATATTTTTTCCCTAATATAGTATGACTATATGCATTTTTACTCTGTGAAATACAAAATACAACTGGGTTTTTTCCCCCCCATCTCCAAAGTGTTCCCAAATGCAAGTCTCAACTAAATCAACAGCCAAATCCTGCCCTGGAAACCAAGCAGTAGATGCACAAAGTGGCCTGGAGCATCATTGCTGGCTGGTGACCCACCCAAGACATGTCAGCTCACGAAGGGCAATTAGCCACAGCTCATAACAACATACACAGATGGAAACCATCCAGGGACATCCAAACATGCAGCTGAGGGGTGCCCAGGGCAGCACACTGTTATGCCATCACTTTTCAGGGTTAGGCTGTATTTGGAAAATACATAAGGAAGCCAATCCCTGCCAGGGTGTACCTGCTTCCTATGTAGCGACCAGCCAGCTTCGCTCCATCTACCTCAAACCATGCTGAAGATACTTCCAGTTCTCTGGATGTAATTAAATACCCCAGACAACAGCTGGCCATGAGCTCAGCCAATCGAATACTGTATTACAGTACAATGGAAGATTCTGTTTACAGAACAGCTTTGCCCAGAAGGGATTTTGTAAGCTCGAAGCAAGATGCATTGCTGAAATCATGACAGATTCAGCAGCCTGCCCAACACCTGCTGCCATGCCACTGGTGTGCTAGAGCAAAGGTGTAACCGAAACAGGGTCCTGTGCAGGGTCCTCGTTAAACCTTGTTAATCTCAAAAGGTGAGCCAGCAGACCATGCTGCACAGCAGTGCCTCTGCTGTACCTTTTGCCTCTATGTGCCTCATTCTTCCACTGTAAAACAAAGGCCACAGTCGTGCAAAGCTCCCCAGGAAAGCAGGTTCGGGTTGCTCACACCACTGTGGATGTGAGTCAGTGTGCCTCACCTCTCTGCTCCAACAGAGTAAGCACTGCTGTTACTGCTCTGGAGCAGAAACAAAGCTGTCTGGGGTTTGCTTACACCCAGCTCCACCCTGCACATGTGCTGGCCTCTAAGAACAAACAGTTCAGGTGCACTGGCAAGGGGCACAGCACTGTCAGTGCTTTAGGGAACGTCTGGAACACATCTCAAAGCCCCAGGATGACACCGATGGATTAATGCAACACACAGCCCTGACATGCACAAAACACCAGTGGGCTCTATTTGCTTATTGTTATCTTGTACGCACCTGTGCAAGGCCAACACGCCATGAAATTCAAGAAATTCTTACCATGGTAAGAGGGAGATGAGAGCAAATGAATAACATGACTTCAGAGATGACCATTTAAGTGGAACTTTAGGAATATAAAAAGCTTGTGTGCACACAAAGTTCCCATCTTTGCACAAGCACAAAGGATTTATTTTGGTAGTATGCAAGGACCACATTAAAAGCAGCCACAGGGAGATGTGAAAAGGAGGGAATGCAGAACCAAAGGCAGAAAAAGGCTTTGTGGGACCACCAGCACCAAGGGGAATTGTGCAACAGCTTTCTTCCAAACATATTTCTGGTAACATGTCATGCTGGCACCACACCAAGAGACAGAGTTTATTAAGGGAAAGTTTTCAGATTCTTGATGAAGTCAGTGCAGCAGCCCCCATGGTTACCAGCAGGCCCCTGCAATGGGAAGCCAGTGCCTACTGTGGAGCAGGGCCAAGGAAAAGTAGGGCAGCTGCCCCGGGTGGTGAGGACGAGCAGCAGGGACTGCCAGGGGAGCTGTGCCCACCAGGAAAGTCCAATAGCGCTGCATGTAGCCAGAGAAGAGCATGTTCCCTACATACAATTCAGGACAACCCCAGGTTACTGCAGGGTCCCAGTTGCCTCATCTGCCCTCTGCATAAGTGGATTAGCATCTGCCATCAGAGAGGAGCCACCTCGCTGCTTAATGACTGCTCTTAAAGGCAGGAAATTCTTGCAAAAATAGGAAGAGATGCTGCTGTCATTAGTGACCCTTGAAGTGTCCCTGCAGCTCCCTAGAAGCCAGTTAGAACAATCAAAAGTGTGCCAGAAAATTCCTTTGAGCTGCAAGAATGTCACTGGTTGGCTGGTTAACTCACTGTCCCCTAAGGCAGCAATAGCCTTGTGTGCACACAAACAGCCCCCAGCTGGACCCCCTCTTGACCCACTTCTAGATTTCCTATGATCTTGAGAGTTTCTTACCATATTTACACTGTCATAAGGCACTGTGAACTCTTATGCAGACTGCCCAGCTCTGCCAGCAGTGAAGCTCATGCACACCATTGGGCACTGACAGTGCTTCTCTTCAGCCCTCGCCTCCTGTGCACCAGCCCCTCTCTTGGGAAGTTCACTACTCAGTTGCACTCAGTCCCTCTCCCTGCTGGCCAGGGTAGCAGAGGGGGCTCTGCCACAGGAACTGCAGGATCTCAAATGATCCTCACCTGCACTCTTAAAGAAGAGCTGACAGAGCTGCAGTTGATGGCCGTCATAAAAATGAACAAATCTGGATCAGACTATTATAGTGATGAACTCTCCACGCCCCACACTGCTTGCTGTCTTGTCACCTGCTGTTTTTCAGGAAAGCAGCACAAGACCTCATCAACCACCAAGGCAGACCAAGTTCTACCCAAGTCCTAAACAGTGCTCAGCTAATGTGCAGAAGTGTCCAGCGCTGGTACACAGAAGGCACAGAGCCTTCCTCATGACAACATTAGCACAAGTATCACCCCTTCCAGAAGGGGACACCACAGTCTCCAACCTTTTACCTTGCTGTCCAGCTTTTTCATTGTCACCAGGTCCAAGGACTTGAGGGAGTGCCCAGTGGGGGTGATGAAGTACAGGCAGACGTGGATCCTTGTGTCATGATAGTTGAACAGAGAACGGCGGATTTTCAGCTCTTCTTGCAAATAATTTTCAAACTGCGTATCAATGTACTCAACTATCGGCCTGTAACTAAAACCATACCATTAGCAACCCAAGACTGGAGATCAAAATTACACAGCTTGAAGGCTTAAGGTATTCTCCTAGACATACCACGATACTGATTAAGACTGAAGTAATTTATCCTTACAACGGGAAAAGCGTGGCCTTTACACACAGACCTTTTAATCCAAAGGTTTCTGGAACATCCTGAGGCTGCACTGCAGAGCCTAATGACAGTGGAGCATGGAAGATAACCACCTCCACAGATCACACCGCAGAGATTGCGGGGCTGAGCCATCTGGCTGCAGCAACACCAGATGACAAGGAGAGACCTTGGAGTTGCAGAAAGCCTCTACCTAGGGCTTGAACAAGATGTAATTAAATGAGACAGGCCCAGAGACACCAATCATGGCCAGAGCAGCTAATTCCCAACCCCATGCTGAGGACAGCTTGTTCACTGCTCGCATTCCTCGGGAAAGACCTCGTGTGACCTCCCCCATTCTCTCTTTGGCTCCTTGCCCAGCTCCCCCTGCATCCAGCCCCCAAAACCAGAGGCACTGCAGGGAGCTTCTGCATTCACAGAAACATGGGCAGCACCCCTGCAGTAGTATAAGCAGGATTATGGGCAGTTTGTGTCAAAACGTCAGAGAGGAGCCTGTAAGCGCCGAGCGGATGGCACGAGACCTGCCTTTCGTCTTTATTTATCTGATCCCCGAATCCAACCGCGTCCACGATGGTCAGTTTCAGGTGGACATTGCTCTCCTGCAGGTCATAGGTCCGTGGCCGCAAGCGAACCGCGCTCTCGTAGTGGCTGGCTTCTTCGGTCTCAAACGTGGTATTGAAGAGTGTATTCATCAGTGTGGATTTCCCAATGCCGGTCTCACCTAGGAACGAGAAGTCATCAGTTCACCGCAGCATGAATTCATCACCTCAAAGGGTATTAATTACAGAGCAGAACTAAATTATAATGTGAAAGGTTGCTACAAATCGTTTGCGGCCAGATATAATTGTCACAAAGGTAACAGCATCCTTGAAGGCTTCCTGTGCACATGCAGCTCATCCTCCCAGCAGGGGACATTCAGCAAATAGAATATAGCAAATTCAGCAAATATAGAATGCATTTTTCCCCCTCCATCAATGCTGACTTTTCTTGGGACCTGTACCAGAGAAGCTGAGAAGAAGAGTTTTAGTACAATGTGTTTGAGTTTTCAACTGAGTAAAACTCAGCTGTTCCTATTGGCAAGAATGATCTGGGTCAGGTGTTGCCAATCCCAAACACAGCAACAGCCCAGGGCACTCAGTGCAGCAATGGGAGCTGCTGTACTGCAGAAGGGACGGGCAAGTCTGACAAAGAGGTTTCCTCTCACTCCTTTCTGTGGGATTTCTAACCCCAGCAGGCTTTTTAACTGCTTTCTCTCCTTGCTCTGTCTCACCACTGGAGTCTCTTGAGGACTTGTCCCATTTAGAGAGATATATGAAAGCAAATCAGGGTGCCTACTTCAGCGCAGAGAAACAGGCAAACAGCTCTGATCCGCTAGGACCACTTGCTATCGGACTGAAAATCTCCTTTCACAGCAGAAAAAATTGAGATGGAAGTTTTGTGATTTCACTGTGCAGCTGAACTTTGGTCTGGATGCCTTACAGCAGCCTGTCCCTCTTCCACACCCCTACTGCTGGGGTCCCACGTGTACAGTCAGTGTGTCAAAGGACTAAAGCCCATTCTGCTGTAACCTTTTCTCCCTCCATCCAAGCAGCAGCTGCACCAAAACCAGCTCTGCAGCTCTCCCCTCTGAAGGCACAGCTCTGCCTTTAGCTGGCAGTGCTGGGGCTGTGCCACTGCCTGCTCACTATTGTGCCAGGGGAAATCTGGGCCCCGTCAGATGATAAAGTTCAGAGACAATGTGGATTGGATCACCCAGGGAAAAGCATTGCTGCGCATTCAAACCAGAAGGCAGAGGCGTGTGTGCATACTGATTTTATCACACAGCCTGCAAGCCCCAGGCAGAAAAACAGCCTTTTTTGGTGGGAAGCTAGCTAAAGAAACACATCAGGGAGCAGCAGGTGGAAGTCTTCTTCATTTTGAGCACAAAGGAAGCTCCACACGAGCGCTCAGTGAGATGTGCTTGGTACATTCAGGCTGTCCAGCACAGCACCATTCTGCACAGACGTGTCACAGACAGCACATCTCTGCTTGGTGACACCTATGCAACAAACAGCATCAGCTGAACTGGAGGAAATAACAACACAGGTATGAGAGTCCATGCATGCAGATAACCTGTACATAACTACAGCTGTCTGGTGGAGCAGGAGGTGCTGCTGTGCTCGGAAGAGCTCCAGCTGCACAAGGAGCTGTTGCAACCCAGCCCAGAGATGGTGCCTGCAGCTCAGCTGGTTTCAGCTCAGATGACATCAGATTACTGGAGTTTCTCCTTATAGCTTCTTTCAAGGCTGCTCTATTGCCCCGTGATTCTTTATGCCAGCCCAGCCAAGGAGTTGAACAAAGAACTGAGTTTAGCAGAAAACACAGTGAAAACAATACAAAAAATGCTGCACGAGCACCTGCAACACAAAAGCCAAAGCACGACAGTGTTATCAGAGGCCATGTTCCACGGTGAATTTTCACTATACACTTCAACAGAGCATGGTGCTGGAAGACCAAAGTAGGGTGTCTTCATCTTTTGAACAGCAGAAACGTTTCTGCTGAGTTGAACCTCTGAGATGCACAGGGGGAGTGCTTTTGGAGGCAAACGGGGATGACTGAGAAACTCAGCAGGAATGGAGAAGTTCTTGAAGGACAAGTAGAGGCCAGATGAGCAGAAGTTTCTCATCTGTAAGCCCCATCTCCAGCAGCCATTGAAGGATACCTGGAATGCATGACAAACCCAGCTCCAGCCCAGAGTATTTGGCTCATGGCTGTCTGTGAACCAGAGGGCTTTGAAGGGCTGCTCCAGGTAAATGTATGAGACTGATCTTTTCCAGACTGACCCACAAGGAGCCCTATTTAAACTTCTCATTCACAAAACACAGCTCTATTGGCCTGGAGAGCACAGACAAGTTCCCAAGGGAACAGCCCTACTTGCTCTGCAGGCAGTCTATCAGGCTGCACCTTCAGCACACACAGCCACTACTTCTACTCCCTCTCCCTGGGCTCCTAGGGAGGCTCTCATCATTGCAAGCAGTTCATTTCTAGCACTTTAGCCAGCATGACCTGATAAATCACAAAAATACCAAAACTAAAAAAACAAGAGCACAATGAGGTTGTTTTTAAGTCTTGCACCTGCTCACAGTCCTCAAGATATACACTTTACAATCGACAAAAACCGTTCCCCCCATCCCTTTTCTAGCTCAGAGGTGGTCACATTTCTGAGATTTGATTCACTCAACCCCAAGCAGGAGGGTGAGGAAGATGGGTGCTGTCTTGTGGGGAGGGATGGATATTTTTTGGTTGCTCTTTTTGTGGGAAATGGGCTGGTCTTTTTTCAAAGCCAGGCATCTCTGACGTGCTCAAGGTCACAGCTGGGGCTGTTTCCCAGCAGGACACACAGCAGAACACACAGGGAAACACAGTCCCAACCCCACCACCGCCCGTTCCACCCCCATCAGCTTGCAGGACCGTGCTCACCCACACAGAGGATGTTGAAGCTGAAGCCCTGCGTGACAGACTTGCTGACCAGCTGATCCGGGAGGCTGTCAAAGCCAACATGGCCCCCAAGGGAAAGGTTCCTCTTCTCTTCGTTCTGGGAGGGAGAAAACAGACAGATGAGCAGAGCTGCAGAGCAGCAGTAGGTCAGAAAGCCAACCAAGAGCTGCCTCCTGGGGCACTGCAGAGCTGCTGCTCAGAGCCCAGCACTGCCACAACACTTTGGGTTTGGTGTGCCTCATCTCAAACCCTCTGACAGCCAACAACAGAAAAAAGACAGACAGACATCGGTCCTAATGGAGAACTGCCTCAGAGAGAACTAAGCTATGGGCTACAAAGCAAGGAAACTCTAACACGAATTCCAACTGCATGCAGCTGGGAGAGGTTAACAAAGGAAAACCCATTATGTACATTTTATCCCTCATTTTTCCTCCTCCATTTTATTTTCTCAACTCCTCCAGCACTGAATGCAGGCAGACAAGCTCTGTGTTCTCCCCAAGCACTCGATCTGTTTCCCTTGGTATGCCATGAGCAGCGTGATTTTGTTTGCTCGAGCTTCCAGCCCGGTCAGGATGAGGAACCCTCTCGCTTTACCATCTGTGACCACGCAGTTTCCACTGTTTCTCTGCAGTTCCCGTTCCTGCCTCCCCCATACACACGTTGTTCTTCCTTCTGTCTCCTCCCTCCCCCGGAGCAGGACAGAGCTGGTCACCTGTACGGGAAGTGCTGCTTAGAAACAAAGGCAATAAATGTCCACGGATCGTCTGGCAGAGTCCAAGACTCCTCCACAGCAAAGCCACAGATGGCCCACGTGCAAAGCACTACAGAACTAAACCAGTTCTGCTTTCAACATCACTGCACTGTGCTGGGCACCACGGAGCAAACCCAGCCCAGGTGACACAGGGGGGCTCTGGGGGTGGGTTGTGCACCTGCTGTACAGAATGGCAGAGCAGGTCCAGAAGAGAGGAGTTCACAGAAGGTCCTTCTGTTCCTAACAGCTAATGGGAGAGTTCAGATATGAAGAAATATTTCATCACGCTGCCAACCTTCTGCCCAACTAAATAACAGTGCCTGAACCCAGTGACCATCTGTAGCCTCTACAGAGCTCTTCTCCTTCCCTAAAGAAGCAAAGATACATGCATCAGGGCATGACTCATTCACTCTCGGTTTCTTTGGTATATAGGTCTGTTTGTTCTCAGTCATCAGCACTCAGTGAAAGATGGGGATGGAAGAATCATCCATCCCCCACACCTCAGCCTTAGCATCCCAGCACCACGTCCAGGATGCTGCAGAGCACCCAGAGGAGAGGCCGAACCGGCTCTGAATGAATTCAAGCAGGACTCGATGAGCCTCGTGCGTCTCTCTGCTCTGCAACACGATTTCTTTAAAACAAACAACACAAACAACCAACAGTAAACCATGAACCTTTCAACTGCATCTCGACTCAAAGCCTCCTTCAGTGCCGCCTTTGGGAGAACAAAGCAACATTCTCCGTTTTGTAAAATGCGTCATTTATATCACAAGGACTGCTTGCAAACAGCTGAAACAGCAGCTACACCTCACCTTCCAACTCTCTGCTGCCCACTGCCTTGCCACCAGCTCACTGTGACCCAGGAGCAGTGCTCCCCTTGGGCAGAACCACAGAGGATTGCAGTTGGGCTCCTGCAATCAGTGCTGTTTCATCCCACTGGGATTGATGGTGCCCTCTAACCAAGCAGAAACAGCAATTGTTTCAATCCTTCCTGTGGGAGAGGCTGTGCCAATTAAGGCTCCGAGGTGGCCAATTGTTTAGGCAAATGCTAAGTGAATTAAAAAGGGCTCCACAGACACAGAAATCTCCAGGTTGTGCTTCCCTCCATTCACTGTTGCAGTGACAACAAAGCTCCAACCAACAGCTCTGCAGGAGGGGTGCTGACAGCATGGTGAGCCCCCAGCTTGTGGGAGGGATTCCAGGCCACGCTCAGCAAGGCAGCTGCAGGAACTGGGGGCAGATGTGTGCTGGGAAAGGGCTCTGAGATATTTCTTCCCTTTCAAGGAGACGGTCACAGAGCAGCATAAGAGCCCCCAGACCCAGTGGTGGCAGAGCTGGGGGTCCCTTTGGGTTTCAGCCATCCTCCCAGCTCCGGCTGCTCCCAGCCCTGCTCTGCCTGGACACCCTACGTGGTGCCAAACTCCAGCTGCCATCACCACAATGTGCTGACAAGCAAAAAAAAAACCAAAACATTCCCACAAAGTCACTGAGTTTTGTTCCTTCTTGGTTTAGATAATAAACAAACCAAGCAAACAAAAAGCACAAAGCAGAAGCCTGGGATGGTGCTTTGGAAAGGAAATAAATGGAGCTGTGGATGGCTACAATTGGGCTCGGAGGAGGTTTCCAGGCAACAGGCAGCACCGCTGCTTGGGTTTAAAATAGGCTCCAGCAAGGAGAGGAGACACTGAGAACTCAGTCGTGCTTCAGACAGAGAGAAGAGTGCATCTGTGCAGGGCTGTGCCCTCCTCTGGTCAGCCGCTGGTTACAGGACAAAAATACTCTTACCCCAAACTGCTCATCATCTCCCAAAATCCCCAACCAACGAGCCAAACTTTGGGGACGTATTTTTGTCTGTGACCTTGAAGAGCACAGTTTGCTTTTACTTCTGTAAACAGTGATAATAACCTGGATGGGGTCCAAAATGCTGCCGATACCAAAGCACAGAAACCATTGGCTCTGTGCACCGCACGCTCAGCTCCATCCCAGCTCCCAGGCAGCCCTGCTGTTGGCACAGCAATAACTGCTGCAATGTAGTCAGTAAGAGCAGGGGAAAACAGTAATGATAATAGTAAATAAAGGTTTTCTTCATTTTATTCTTCTCGTCCAATCCATCAACTACAGGAGCATGACAGCATTATGAATGCAAGCAATTTCCCTGAGAAGACCAGCTCCTTTGCAGCATTTGGTCCTGCAGCACTCCCTTCACAACACCCACTGAGACCCACATCCCACATTCACAGCCTGGAGAGACCACTGCACTGCTGCTCACTGGGTGGGAGACCCCTCCCTGGGCTGCCAAGAACAGAGGGGCAGCTGAGCATCTCTGAGGCCAATATGGTCATTTTGCACCATGGTACTTAAGGGCTCACGATGGCTCTGAGCGTGGATTGCCAAAGCAGCCCTGACCTTGCTTCAGCAGCATCCCACCACAGGCAGCTCCTGGGGTTCTATGCAGAGCCTTTAAAGGAATGCACTCTTTGAAGATCTCCTGTGCCTCGAGCTGACAGGAAGGGCTTGAAACACTGAGAAGAGGGGATGAGCTTTATTTTGAATCTGGAATTCAGTGGGAAACAAAGGAGTCAGTGAAGGTCAGAGCAGAGCTGGATCATTTTGAAATCCAAAGTCCATGTTAAGCTTGCAATGGATGCTCCATCCTGCATCCATCCTGGCAACACACGCACAAATGGCACCTGGGGGCACTTCCACGATGGGAACAGTGGCCATCCCTGAGAGAATCGATCTCCAGCTCTGGTCCAACGACATCACAGGATCCTCTACTGCCATCGGACAGGCAGGAGGTGGCCGTGCTTCACCAGGCACCACAGAAACCAAAAGCAAACCTCAAATCACAGCACTTGGAGCCTGCTGTACAGCACCAGGCTCGCCTGGCCCTGCTGGAGGACACATGACAGCACGCTGGCCCACTCCTGCAGCTGCATCAGCGAACTGAAAGCAGCATTTCAAACCCACATTGGCTTCCTAAGCCCATCTGCAGCACAGTGTCACAGCAGGAACAAGGCAGCTGGCCACAAACCACTTCCTTGGAAGATAATGTCATTTGCCCTCTTATTGCAAGGGAGATGGAAAAGGCATGGAGAAACACAATCAGAGAGACCGAGTTCTCTGATTCTAAATCTGGTTCCCTATGAGGAGTCACTACAGTACCCACATGCCCACAATTAGAAGAAACGGGGATTAAGGAAACATGAGGAGAAGGAGCACAAGCTACAGTAACAACCAACATGCCTACAACTCTTTAAAAATAGAAAAAAACTGATTGTGGCTTTCCTGCTTCCAGTCTCTTCTTGCTTCACCTCCCAATTCGCATCAGTTTCAATTTGCATCATCACATGGTCCAACGGCTGCTCCCAGGAGAAGTGGCTTCTGCCTGTGTAACCCAAGGGGATCAGCCTTCCATCACTGCCCTTGTCCTCCTTGCTGTCACACTGGGAGGAGAATGAACTGACCAGGACTGGGGTATAAAAGACCATTTTGACATCAATTGTTTAAAAAATGAAATAAATAAATGGAATGGTATCATTCTTCAATCCATCTTGACATGAAACGCCCTTCAGTGACACACGTTTGTGTTCTCTGCTTGAGACAACGCCGACTGCCTTGCTGCAGCAGACACAGCAGCCTGTGGGCAACGTGTGAACTGCTCTGTAAAACCAAGAGTGAAACCCCCCAAAAAACTGCACTGCTGCTTCTCAGCCAAACCGTGACCTGACCGCAGAGCCCTGGCCTCAAGCTGCGACGGATGAGGTAACACAGCACTTTCCTGTGCCGACGGTGCCTTTGTCCCTTTCCAAGGCCCAACTAAACACAGGAAGGATAAATAGCTGACATCTTCCAAGGCAAAGCAGCAAAGGCCTTTCTTCTTTCTGTAAGCAACATGGGCTGCCACCCAAGCGATGAGCTCCAGCCCAGGGACAGCCAGAGAGTGGCTCGCTGGGCTGCAGGCAGAGCCACAGCCACTGGGGGAAACGTTTCATGTCCACAGCCAACAGGATTTCACATTCCTCTCTCCTCGAGCTTTTTCCATTCACATTTCACCCATGTGCATACTTATCAATAAGAGGCAATAATTTCTGCACATTGTTTTCTGTAGTGCTTCAATTCCCACTTCTGGGGGCTTCTGGGTTCATCAACTCCTCCAGCCAGGTTGATGTTTGGAACTTAAATAACCCAAATCCTGCAGGACCCCGCAGCACGGCTCCCCTCCTACCCAGGCACAGTCAGGCATCCCTACCCCCACCTGCCAGCACTGCAGCACTGAAAATAGTCGTGGGCAGACGGGAGTCACGGAGCAGCGTGCCAGGCACCCTGCAATTTACAATCAAATCAAAATGCAATGAGAAAGCAGTGCTAGCAGACAGATTGCAGCTCCCCGATGGGAATGACTCAGATCAGGGAGAGGAAGAGCAGGGATGCAGCAGTCAGCGCTGCAGGAGCCCACCCTGCACCCAGCACAGCTTGGGGCTGCTGTAGGCACAGTGCAATGCCTTTTGTTTCCTGCTTCCTAGTCCACAATCCACAACAGGGCGTGAAACACAGGGATTAATACAAATACCAATGGGGTTTATGAAATGCTCTTCCCTCATTTCCTCAGTGGAAACGCATGGAACAAGGAAATTATCCAGCTGTGACACAGGGAGCCTCAGTTACAGCCAAGCTAAGGAAGGGCTGAGCGAGACGTGGCTGCTTATCAAACCCACATGGCTGCTGGCCCCACGCACTGCCATGCTGGCACCCGAGTGCTGCGGGCCCCAGCAGCACTGCACAGCAGGGCCAGATGGCAATGCTGAGGGGCCTCCCCCAGACACACCTTACTGCAAGGTCCTGCTCAGGCACTGCTGCTCTATCTCCATTTCACAAGGAAACTGAGTCACGGAGCACTTAAGCACCTGCCTTGAGACTTGTGGGCAAACAACGTCAGATGCCAAATTCAGCTGCTCTGTCCCAGCAGGCACTCCCTGGGACGTGGCCCAGTTTCTGGATCAGTGCTGACAGCGATGACAAATCAGGCTTTCTGAAGCTCCCCCTCATCTCTGGACACTCCCAACGAAAACCACTTGACATCTGCAAGGGACCAGCAGCCAGCACACACTCAGGCAGGACAGACTCAAGTTTTCAGGAAGAAAATGTTCCTTTGGCCAAGCTCAAGGATGCTGGGTCTGGGCAGAGAGCTCAGTGCTGGGGATGGAAGGAAGCACACTTCCAGCTGGGGCTGATCGTGGGAGACCTCAGCATCACTTCAGCTAAAGTCCTTGCACAGAAATGCCATCTAATCTCAAGCAGATTTGCCGAGTGCAAGCACATACTCAAGCCTGAACATTCTCAGTTAATCTTAAGCATGTGCTTAAAATTCCAGATCCTTACTGCTTTGTAAGAAGCCAGGGAAGGCTGGGGAAAGAAAAACAGAGAGAACTTTAAATGTGGGGTTTATGCCGATTTACTGCTTCTCTTAGAACAGCTGTCTGCTTCACTTTCCCTGCTCCTCTCACTGATCCATTCTGCTGGTCAGACAGGATGCAGCTCAGACAGCGTGAGCTGCGTCTTTGCAGGGAAGGCAGAAGTGTTTTCCTTGCTGTGGCATGGCAGCACTATGAGCTGTTGATTGCAACACTGTGATGCCCAGCACTCCAGCAATGGCTGGGAGAACCGCAGCTGCCCTCACTTCTACCTCTTTTCCATCACACTGCATGCTGGACCACACCTGAGCCATCCCTCCCTGGATGCAGCACTGCAGCTGGACACCTCCAGCTGCTGCAGGCTTCCCACTGCATGCTCCCAGCCCACGCTGCAATCTCCCCCAGTGAAAACCTCACACTGGGAGAAAAAAAAAAAAACACAACCAACAGTTGCCACCCCCCTTTAAACAGCTCTGCAAAGAACGCCAAGAATTTTCCCAGACACTCCAGCCTTTATTCACACTCCTCCCAGCTGTGCTCCAGGCAGGCAAAACTTTGCAGGAGAAGCAGTGATGGAGTCATCACCAAGACGCATCAAACAGAAATGAAAGCTGCTCAGCATCATGGAGACACAAAACTGAGCTTCTCCCCTTCGGGGCTGAAGGTTACATGGCCCGAAGTGATGCTTTTTCCACAAACAAAATACAACAGCAAAGCACAATAGTGCTTCACAGCACTCCCTGTGTCCCCACAGATCCCAGGGAAGCAGGCGAGCTCTGCACAGCGTTGGGCAGGTAACTGCCTTCTGCTCAGAGCAGCAGCCAACAGCTGAGCTGCAGCACAGCCTCACAGCCTTCCTTCCTCCGAGAGGTAAAATAAGAATCCCACACATCTCTAACAGAATGAAACGAGCTGGCACGGGCCTAAAGCATCACTCTCTGCTGACTTCCAGAGCTGAGTCTGCAGGGAGCGCAGTGCTTCTCATCTTCCTTACACAACACACACTAAGATGATACATTCCCAACCTGTGAACGCAACATCAGTTTTCATTTTCTGCAAACAAACAGACTGCTTCTGGCTCTGACCTCCCTCAGAGCTTTTCCTGCTAAAAACAAAATTCCACACGTTTCCTTTCCATAATCTGTTATTTCATCATTTCCCTAGGACTGTTGTGAAGTCTTACTAATTAATTGCAAGGTCTTTCTTAATTAAGAGAGGATTAACATGTGTTTTGTCCCTATCACGTAAGTCCTGGATGGGAGTTTACAACAAAGCAAAACAGGATTTGCCGGGCATTATGCACACAGTGTTTTGCAAACATGAACACAGCCTGGAGAACGAGGAAAGTCGGTTACAACAGTGACGACTGTGGGACCAAAAATGAGAGACATTTCCTCCAAAATGACCTTAAAGGATGAGAAAGTTCAGCTTTTCAGCAGCCTGAGAATTCCATCCCCCAAGAGCTATTCAAAACCAAGAAAGCAGAGTCCAGAACACAAACACAGCTCTCCCTTCACGCTGTTTACAAAGAACCCCATGGCAGACAAACAAGCACACACCAACCCCCCCAGCCCATTCCTCCCTAAGGTTATTCACCCACAGTGTGCTCAGCCTTCCGATGCAATGGAACTGCTCAGTCAACCAAGGCCAGCAGAACACTGAGCTCAGAACACTGAGCTCACCCCTTATCTAGCATGGGACTTTCCCATGCTCACCCCAGCAGATGCACTCTCAGCTCCCACTTGCCCATGTGAGCCCTCCCCTCCTTCTGACCACGAGGAGAGGACATCCTTCCTGGTCCCAGCTGGGCACATGCAGACAGATATGGGACAATGCCAAGAAATGGAGCCTACCTGTAAGGAGTGGCACAGGAAGGGGTTGGGGCTGTTTAAAAGATGCGTTAACAAGGAAAGAAGGATCTGGATCCCCACCATGTCATTACCCAGCCGTGCTGGATATCAGCCACCAAAACTATTTTTTTTAGTTACCACTTAAAATAAACATGTCGAATTCCCACATACGTTTCCAGAACATATTGCCCAATTACAATAAAAATGATTCCTTATATTGTTAGACAAGGGAACAGAAATATTCTAGTGGGAACCCAGCATCGCTGCATACTTTTTTCCAGCTGCCTCATGTAACCATCCTACAGCATCTCCACAAACAGCCCTCCCCACACCTGGACAGGGCTCTTCGTGGTACTGCCTCACAAATATGGTCATCATCTGAACAAGCCATCACCATAACGAGCTGACTGCTAGATACCCCATTAACATGCCTCCAGAAGGCATCAGAGCGTATTAGCACAGAATGCCTTTAATTGGAAGACTCAACAGTGGAAAAATAAAATTAAATGTATAGCCAAGGATAACCTGAAAGGACTCTTCAGTGTCTCTGAAACGATGGCACAAATCCATACCCACCATCACAGGCCAGAACAGATAGACAAGGAGAGAGCTCCTGGGAGGCCCAGCTCTGGCAGCCCTTCCTTGGGCAATGCTCTTACCATGACAGAGCTGAATGACAGCTTCAAATCAGATTAGGATCCAAGGCCTGGAGCAGCTTGCTGTGAGCAGGGTACGGACAAGAAGATGCCCCTCTGACCTGAGCAGCTCTGTGCCTGCAGCAATGCACACTGCTTAGCACAGCACAGCTGGGCAGCGCTGGGTGCCACTGCACAGTGCTTTGATTTCCAGTCCTGGAACACATTTTGCACCAGCCCCCAGCTCCAGGCATGCCCAAGCATCCTGCTGCAGGCAGCAGATCTCCTCCTGCAGGGCTCCAGGCCACGTGGAAGCCAAGGGCTGCATCCTGCCCCTGGTTACAGCAGGAACCGGCCGGAATGCTCCTTGCCTGGGGAGAGCTCTGCAGACATTCCCCACGTGTTTCCCTGCACACGTCATGCAGAGGTGGCACGGGCTCAACACAGCACCTCATGCTGCAGCCAGGAGAACGAAACAACCCAGTAGAAATGCAGCATGGGCTGCAGCCCCGCAGCTTCCTGCCATCATCTGGTTTTGAAACCGCACCAGGCAGAAGAGCTTTCCATTTCTGGCCCTGAGGCAGGGTGCTCCATGGGAACCTCTCTCCAACTGTTTGACATCTCTGTAATTTCATGTGTGGGAGACAGATGCTTTTTGGCTTCACAAAGGGATCTGGATGCCCAAATGCAGTGGTGCCTCCAAAGCCCCGACCCCATGCTCTGCCTGCAGGCTGGAGGTGATGACTGGGGATAAAGCACACAGTTCTCCCTGCCACAGCCCTGTGGATGCTGTCACACCATTTCAGAGCACTGACCCCCAGCCTGGATCCACTTCTGCATGCAGAGGTCCCACACTGGAGGTGAGGCTCTGGGAGGAAGCCTGAGCTGGCCAAGACTGAGGAAAAGCCCTGGACTTTGGGATTCTTCTCACTTCAGCTGCTCTGGGAGTTGAATGGAGCTCTCCTATCCATCCACTGCCTCGACATTTGCAATACTCGAATATCTGAATGCTAAGCTTCAGGTATAAACCCAGAGCTCATGGCACGCATACATGTGGAGAAGGCGAGGAACAGACAGGCTGTGTGTGTACACAGCCACCCCCAATCAAAACTAAGCATGGAACGAGGCCACACTATTTGTAAAGACTGCAACTAATCCAAAACAAGCAGGGCTCCCCTCCTGCCCACAGCCCCAACGTGCCCAGGACACGTTCCAGATACACACCCCCACCTGCACCCCTCCCACTGCCTCCCCCTCATTGCACAACCCAGGAGAGGCCGATTCAGCATCATGGCATTTCTTTCCCTCCCAACCTCTGAGCCAGAGGAGCACGAGGAGGAGGGAGACGAGCACAGCAGTGGCTCCTGCAGACATCTGAGGGCACCGCATGGGCAGGGACAGCGGGGGCACCCGGAGATGGGGCTGCGCCTCTCACCGCAGCTGGTGACAGCGCTGGCATTCTCCTACAGAAGACAGCATTTAGGGAGCTTTTGGCCTTCCAGCAACACTGGGGACGGGCTGACAGCTGCCACCACAGCACTGACAATGAGTCCTGATGCTGAGCCGGCCTCCTGAAAGAGTTATTCTTCAGGCTTCATTTGTTTTGCCGACGCAGAGGGCACACTCGGCTCCAGCATTTGCCAGCTCACGTCCTTCCACCCACCAGCTCGGTGCTCGTTGTGATTACGAGCGGGTAAGAGCAGCTCCGGAGCTCCCACGCAGAACAACATGTTGCATCTCTTTTGCAAGAGGAAGAGATGCTCTGGATTCGCCAACAGCACCGCAGCGGGGTAGGAAAACAAAAATCTTTTTCTGGGCAACGTTTGTTCTCAGCACATACATTCCAAATAAGTGTTTAACTGCAGCGGACTGCGGTCGGGTTAATTGGTCCTGTGGTTGAAACAGTCAGAGCTGGCTTCCTGCATGAGGACAGGCAATCCTCCCCGGGAGGGACTGCAGGAGAAGTGAGGCAGCTACCAATCTGCCTGCTGCCACGGAACAGCACTTCCCACCCTCCTTCCCAAAGCAGCAGAATGGCTGCCAGGGCACAGAGGGACAGGGGCTGCTCCCACTGTGCTGCTTCCTGGGGCACATCGTTAGCAGCTCGGAGAAAAATCTGTTGCTACTGTTCAGCGCTGCATGGGGGAACACCTGAATGAATTCTTCCAAATGAGAACTCAGCATAAAGCTTAAAAAAAAAAAAAGTACACACCTACAAAACACAACCCAGGAAATTTAACCCTGGAACTTCCAAATAGTGGCTCTGACTGGGCAAATAACAAGGTGAGGGAAAGGAGGGATGTCCGAGCCCAAGCAAACCCCAATTTCCATTGTAATTGAGTGATGGAAACATCTTCCTCAAGCATTTGATTGTAAGCCTATGTTTAGGATCAGCCGTCATATGGCCTCTGGCAACTGCACTGCCATAGCCAAGGCACACAGAGCTGTCCTCAGCCCACCCTTCCACGGGCAAAGGCACATAATGCTGACCCTCATGTGGAAGAGGTTTCAGCCACACAGGCAGTCAGGGAAAACACAAGGTTCCAGAGAACAGCAGCAGCAACGCATGAAGTTTATCACAACCCAGGCAGCTATGGCAGGAACAGGCACAGTGCAGAGGTTCCCAGCGTTTTTTTCTGACAAGACCTTCTAAGCTGCACCCTGTGCACGCATCCACAACTCTCTTCACTGAGCGCGGATCTCCGCAGAGCCCTTCTCCACACTCAGAGCCGCAGTGGGCACACGAAGCGATCAGATGTGACGCTTCCACAACTTACAGCGTAATGCTAGATCCTTATTCTCAGTCCAAAGTGAAGGCTGAATGCATCTGCCCCTCCTCACACACACACAGCTCAGTCTCAAGCCCAAGGAACAGCCTTTGCACCACCGTGAGATGCTTAATTCAGACCTCAGAGAGACAGCGTTCCAGGAGGCTGAAGGGTTTGGCTTCAAAAGACAGAAAGTAACACATTTGGTGGTTGCAAAAGCTCCACTAAAGCAAAGCCGTCTACCAGCCTGGGTCTCACATCTCATCCCATTTACTCTCCCACGCATCTCCAGTTGCTTTTCCCTCATTTCTCCTTCCAGATTTGCCAGCTTCCTCCAAGGCTTCTGGATTTCCCTGTTGCATTTCAAGCACATTCTGCCTTCTGCTCTCCATACCTTTGCTAACACTGCCAGCGTCCACCCCAGCACCGCCGCACGTGGCAGTGAATGGTCCTGAATGGGGAAGCTCTGACGATGAAGCATTTCACAACCGACCCAAACTCCCATACACAGAGCCCAGATTACATAAAGTCATTAGTTTCCGCTCAAAGTGAACTGTTAGTGAATCTTAGCGTGGCTGAAATGACATCCCCAGCTACTCATCAGCTTGCTTTCTGCTGCAGCAGTACCGTACTGCACAGCAGGTGCTCAGCACCATGCCTGCAGCCCAGGTTCCCAGCAAGGCGGTGGTGTGGCACATTCCCAGGGCAGCCCAGCCAACCTCTCACAAACACGGCACTGACAAAAACAAAGGCACGACATTCACAGAAACAAAGGCTGACTTGAGCACGGCTGGTGTGATCCTGCTGCTCAGAGCCCAGCTTCCTTTCATTTGCTTTTGTTGGGCATTTCCAGCAGCAGCACTTCAAGGGTATTGTGCTGGGGGCAGAGGCACTTGGCAGGACTGTACAAGGGGAGTTTTCTGAACACATTATCCAAACTAAGGGTCACCACATTCCAGGAGGTCAGTGTCAGCTGGACAGTTAAAAATAACCTCACCAATCCGAAAAGTGGGATTACTGTTAAAAAAGCCTCTGGAGGAGGTTTTGATACATTATTTCCCCCCACGGATACAAATAGCTGGTGAAAACAAATATAATTACTTCTTCTTGGCAGTAGCAAACCATTCCCATTCAAAATTACACTCAAGAAACTGAGGCACAGCGCCACAGAGTGACACCCAAAAAGCTCTGAGGACCACCGAACAAACAAGCAGAATATCTCCAACGGGAGGTGTCCACGATCCTGCTGGGGGAGCAGCAGCAGAGCCAGAACGGGCACTGAGGATGGAGGGAGCAGAGCGAGCAGGGCAGCACTCAGCACTGCATCAGACTGAGAGGAGATGCTGCTCACCCAGCGCGTTGTGCCACAGCCCCTGGCCAGCGAGCCCAAAGGCAAAGAGCAGCCGAGGAACCCACGGGCTGCAGGACCCCCCACCCCATCTCTGCTCCTGCACACCATCAGAAGATTTTCCACTAACGGAGCTGGGCTCTGAATTCACGCTGCAGTTCAGCCATCTCACTCTGCTCCAGTGGGAGCCAAAAGCATTTGGGAACTTTTATTTAAGACAAAAAAAAAAAAAAAAAAAAAAAAGCGACAGCACATGGATGTAAGCACACCGAGTACCCGCACCGAAGACTCCTAAATTAAATTGGCTCGCTCCCAGGCTCGGCACCATTTAGGGCTCTGTAACACCTAAGAAAAGCCGAGCAGCACCAGCTGGCACAGCGAGGCGGCCTTACGGGTATTTATACACCGAAACAACGCAGCCCCGCTTCGCTGCTCCGCGTTTTGCCTCCGGGGCTCCGCACCAACCGCCCGCCCGGAGCTCAGCAACATTCCCTGCCTTAGAAAGGAGCCCACAACGCGCTGTACGCGGTGCGAGTCTCAGGTCAGCTCCGCTCCTGCAAATTCAATTCCGAGATGGAAACTTCGGGGCCGGGAGGAACGCAGCAGTTGGAGGCTGTTGGCAAGCAGCAGCCACAGAGGGAAGGGCGGCAGGGCGGCAGGGCCGTGCCCGGGCAGCACGCCGGCGATCCGGGAACCGCCGCCGCTCCCACCGGTTTAGCAGCATCACGCTCAGCAGTCCTCACTTCGGAGCTCCGCTATTTCATGCGGGAAAGAGGTTTTTATAGCTATAAGCGCTCCAAGAGGCACCGCCGGGCTGCGGAGCTCGCACAGCCTTCCCGCAGCAAAGCACAGCCCCGCACAGCCCGCCGTGCCGATGCGGGCAGCCCGCGTCCCGCCGCCGTTACGCAACGCCGGGCTGCGCTCCTCGCCCCGCCGGCACCGGGAGCCGCCCGCAGCCCCCAACCCGCCTCGCTCCTCACCGAGAAGCGCTCCAGGTCGGTGGCGGCCATGGCCGGAGCTGAGCGCGGCGCGGGGCTCTGCCCGCCCCGAGTGGCTGCGGCTGAATGGATCCAATATGGCCACTTCCTGGAAACTCCCCTCCGCC